CTTGAAGGCTATACAAAGATTAGTCAGAACTATGTATTCTTGAGGCAATGTTAATGCCTATTATAGAGTGCATCAATATGTTCATTGCAAACTAGATGTCAAAGTAATGAATGAAGCCGGAAAATCGAGAGGGCATGCAGTGCACAATTGACATTAATAGGATTCAATTAGCACCTTAAATTCTCTGTTTGTTACTTCACAAACCAGAACACTCTCACACCACCACTCCGGCAATATACCCAAATCCAACTACAGCTGATGCAGTAAGATAAAAACATGAAAAAGAAAATAAGATCAAATAGCACACATTCCCACAACTAGATACGGTAGACTTCAATACAACTGGGATGAACAAGAACTTCTAAAAAAACCCATTAAAAAAAAATCACAGCTTCCGAAAAATCAAAACAGAGCAATCAAATCCATTCAATTAACGTTTGCTTTTCTCAGTAGCCAAAACACATCACACTCTATAAGAACAAAGACAAAAGCATACCGGCAACATCAGCGAGAGTTCATCATCTCCACCAACGCGTAATTCAAAAGGCCCTTGCACTCGAAACGCATCGAGCACTGCCTTGGAACCAACTTCCTTAACCAAAGACTCAAAATCACCTCTCCCCGTCTTAAACTTCTTCCACACAGACTCTTCGTCCAACAATTTGAAAACCAACTTGCCCTTCCCAAATCGAATCCGAATCTCATACCTCTGCAAAGTCCCATACTTGGCCTTCCTCACATCCAATTTCGAAACCCTAATGTCCTCCAGATTCCACTTTTGCCACTCCGAAATCACATCCAACACATCCTAAAAACACAATTAAACAACAAATTAACCTATAATCGAGACTTAAATAATACGATTTTACAGTAATAAATCACACCTTTAAGAAGAGAGAGGGTTCGGGGCGAAGTTCTTCACCGATCTTCGGGTAGCTGAAGTGAGAAATATTGAAAAGTGGAGTAGAGATTGCGAGAGTTAATGCTAGGGTTTGGAGAAGTAAGACTTGAAGGAGAGAGAGAACCAAAGGTTTGAGCATCGTTTAGGGTAGAGTTTGGGTAATCTCTCGTCAACGGACGTCGACGACGACGATTACTACTGTACGCCGAACAGAGAATAAAATTGATCTGATCTGCTTTAAGTTGAAATGACGATTATAGGCACTACTGAATGAACCAATAGAGCGTCCTAAAGAGGTCATCTGAACCGTGGGAATAAGATCATCGCCTTTCAATCGACGTTTCTCATCTGATCTAGTGGAATAAAAAAGTGATCGTGTGCTAAAGTGCTCGAGTTTAAAAAGGTTACGTTTTATCACAGAGCAGATTTCATCGTCAATTTTCCTTTCTTTCTTTTGTCAATAAAATCCTGGTCGGTCACCTTTTTTTAGGCCGGGCTCGATAAGTGAAAATCATAAAAATAAAATAAAAAAATTTTGCACCTCAGATCATGAGTGGTGGGTCTATTCTTGCACCGTAAATTTGTTTTTTCATCCCATTTAATTATTTTATTTCAAATTATTAAATTCATTCCATTTATAATCATTCAATTAATTATTAAGTTCACATCATTTATACTCATTTAATTAAATTATTAAATATATATTAAAGAAATCAAAAAAAACAAATAATTAAAATAAAATTTTAATATTTTGAGGTGATCTATATTATTTCAAGATATTTTCATATATTTTCACGATGTCTTTGGAGTATTTTAAGATATTTTTGGTATATTTTGACTAATATATTAAAAATAATTATTAATTTTTATTTGTTTCTAAAATATTTTTTTGTATCGAAATTAGAGTTGTTAAACGAGACAACTTTGAACATTTTTTTAAGCTCGTTTATGTGTAAATAATCGAAGATTTAAGCTCAAATTCAGTTCGATTATCACCCCTAATTGAAATAATACACCAAAACAAAATTTTGATCATTGTGTCTATATAGTAAATTGAAATAAGATTGAATGAATTTAATTTTTAATTAGTGAATATAGACGGGTGAAAATTGATGGGAATTAGACTTTAGAATAGTCAAGTGATTGATATATGTACACATTATGTATTTGAGAGTGCTCTGGTAAGAGAGATTCTGCTCAAACTCTGTCTTGGTTACGATTCCCATGAAGGGGATATGATGACGTGGTGTCGGGGTTATGCGACAATCACGAGTACCTACATGGATTGATAGTTGATTAACGGGTTGAAAAAGACTACGAATTTGGAGCATCACAGTTTGATATCAGAGTCTAAATTTTCGATTTACCTAGGGCTTGTAGGGCATGAGTCTAAGACATTGCATCCATTATATATTATATGTTGTGTGCATTAAATTCTAAATGTTATGTACTATATGAATTATAGACATGATTAAGTTTGGATGAAAATAGGTCATTAGGGTTAAAAAACATAACTTTAGGGGTTAGAAAAGAAGGAATGGGAAGGCTCATGGTATAGATGTCTACTAGTGGATAACGCACACCCTACTAGTGAGATACATAGAGAAATCTCAATGTTTTGACTTTGATCCCTAACTTCGGAATGCTAAATTAGTATTTTATTACTATCTTTACGTGTGTGTAGATGAAAAATAGAGGAAGATGACATCGAAACGGTCAAGAGAGTGGGTGGAATAACAACCAACCACTACCGGCCTTTGATCAACAAACTTTCATGGAGGCTATAGGCACAACGGCTACTACCTTTGCACAAGCTAACTCCAACGTGGGCCAAGAAGGCTTGAATAACCTCTAACATTTTAAGGCACACAATCCACTTATTTTTGTGGGAATAATGGATCCGATGGTGGTCAACAATTGGTTCCAACAGATAGAAAAGATCTTAGAGACTATGGAGATCACATCTGATGCCACTAATATAAAATTAGTGGCTTTTTAGCTTGACGGAAAGACCAATCTATGACGGAATCAAGCAAAATCCTCAAAGAATATTGAAGCAATGACACGGGAAGAGTTTTGTGAGCTCTTTCATAGGCAAATATTTCCTGTCAACTGTCCGACTAGCGAAAGTCCGAGAGTTCTTGGATATGAAACAAGAAAATATGATAATTATAGAATACGTAGTTAAGTTCATCGAGTTAACCCATTTCATCAATGATTATGTGGCCACAAATTTGGTCCAAAGTGATGAAGTTCAAGGATGTCTTGAAGTTGTACATCTGATGAAAGATTGTAGGTCACCACCTATAAGACTTGGACTCAATGGTCGAGACGACTATGTCTATTGAGAGGTATAGATGAGGTGAATTTAGTGATTTAAAGTAAGAATATCTCCAACCATAACTTAAATTTAGACTCAAATTTAAGTATAAATTTGAGCAAAAAACTTGATTTGGTACAAAGTACTCTAATGCGCAAACTCAAAAAATTTCTCAAATCTTTTTAAAAAAAAATTATTGTCCCAAAACTCTTCTTTTTTTTTTTTTTGTGTCATTCAAATCATAATATTTAATAAATTAAATGAAATTTGTATAACTCTCCACAAATGAGCAATTCAAAAAAAAAAATGAATATTTATATAACACTACATGTGAATAAAGAAACCACCCAAAATTTTAAAATTATTCTAATCACTTATTATTTTTTATAAATTCAGATAAAGAAAAAGGAAAAATATATAAACTATTTTGACATAAACTTGGTCCGAAAAACACAAAAATATACATTTTTAACAAAAATGAAAATTTGGAAAAATAAAATGAAAAATTTTCTACATTTATGGGTTTGCGAATGCTTAGAATTTTAGGAAGTATCAGCAGTCTGAAATTGTACTACCGATAGTGTTTAACTTAAAAAATCAAAAAAAAATTTGATGAGTAGATTTAGGATTTATATAGTATAAAAGGTGAGTGAGATTAAGATTTTGAAAAATACAAGAAATGAAAAGATTGAAGATGAAAAGTAAAAAATTTATCTACAGGTTTTCAAATGATTTGTGAAAATTTCGGTAGTAGTCAGCGTTGGAAGCAGCATAGTAGAGAGAGTCAATAAGAGGCAAGAAAAATTTGAATCTACATTTGAGTTAAGATTGAAGATACTTTAAGATGCTTAAATGGAATGAGAAATGAGATTTACGAGATAGAAATAGTCCCACCCAATCATGAGAAAGCGTAGCTAAACCTGAAATAAAGATTTTTTTTTTTTTATTTTGTAGAATAAATCTAGATTTCTTTTAATATATTTTTAATTTTTTTTTTTGACAAATTATCTATCGTTAATGAATGAAAAACCTATTTATATACAATATACTTCATTTGATTTTGAATGCATCACAGATGATTTACTAAGAATAAAATTAAGTAAAAAAAATATGTTGTAATAAATCTCAGTCTAAAATAGAATAAAGGTATATCTTCTTCATTGTTATTTTTTTTCACAACGTCTCTTCAATTATACTAATTTTTTAAACATGCAAATGAGATTATCGTATTCAGCTGATGTGAAGGAATTAAGGTGGTTGTATGCCATGAAAACTAGTTCTAGACTATGAAAAAATAATAGGAGAAATGGTAGAATGAAATTAATTCAATCACACTAGGGATAAAAATACAATTAACCTGGTTTAAAATATCAAAAGATTCTTCCCAGTGAAATCAAAATAGATTAAGGCAATGTTTTCAGCCTTTTGAGCAAATAAAAGAAACCCCTAGGGCACTCCTGTTTTAAGCCAAACAAGATAGTACCGAGTCGGTAAATTTGTTCATCACCTTGAACTCATACATCCAACCACAAACTCCATTACATTTCAGCAATTGACTCTGTGTCCAATATGACCCATAAGAAGAAACAAGAAACCGTACAAACTACGAGAGACAATAGAGCGATGACCAACACCAGAACTTCACCACCTACTCTTCCAGTCATCTCCATTGCCTTCCCACATCAAAATGAGCTTGGAACTACCACGTCGAACTTAATACAGGCCATAATGTAGATTTTCAAGTTGGAGAATGAACAGAACCCAAACAATGCAAGTTGATCAAATCAAAGCAGCTTGCATCAATTGAGAACATAGGCAAATGCATGAATAGTTGAGAAGATCCGGCTTTGTGATAGTCCAGAGCTCGTCATTCCATGAGCTCCCAGCCTGACTACTTTTGGTCATAATAACGTTTCCACCCTCCATAAAACTCTGCTCCACATGGCCAATGGAGGATAAAAGCTTTTTACATGTCTCAATTACACCATCAAATGGTCGCTCTAGTCTATCAGCAAATGTACCATGAAGGCCTCAATTCAGCTCTCTAGACCATCTCAACAGCATTTATAAACATTATGCATGACAGCACCTATTTAAAAGACCAAGACTAGGAAAGTCCTCCCATTTCCTTTCCGGCCATTTCTGCTCACTTTTTCGAGAAGTTTAAGAAATCATTATGGAAGAAGAATGCAAAACCAGCTTATTCGGCCAGCAACAATGATTCATACACACAGATGGATAAAGATGATCCATCCAAAGCAAACGGCTGTAAACAGGTAACACATTCACAAATGCTCATGAAATGAGCAGAAAATGGTTGCTAAAAAGATATCTGGACAAAAAAAGTTATCTGAGAGCTTCCCTCAGATGCAAGGTCGAGAAGTAGTCAAGCTTTCTCCCCCGAATTTGGTTCGTAAAGAGTGTCGGACACTTTGGAGGGGGGCCAATACCGAAAGACTGATCTACCAACAATGCTTTTGATAGGAAGCGGACCCCTGCAAAATAAGGCAAAAAGTAGCAGATAATAAGATTATATAATTCCCAACATAAAGACATAGTCCTAAAACAACCACCAACAAAGTTCATTGAACTTAAACAGGAAGTTGGTTTCTTCCAACCTTATGCCATAAATTTTCATGCAAAAGTATACCAGCGCAAATTAGTAATTCAAAGTCCAAAAATTACCAATTATGGGAGTCGAAGCTGTTGTTCCGGTTGTCCCCCATCACAAACACATAGCCTTCAGGAACAAACTATACACCATTACAAACAAAAGAAAACATTTCTCAGATAAACAATATTATAGGAACTAAGAGACATTTATAAATCAAGTAAGACAATCACAGGTAGAAAAAACAACAATAAACGTACCACTGCATCCATTTCATACGCAAGTGGCTCTAAAATGAACTCCTCATCTTGAACAACACCATTCACAAACAATTTCCCATCATGAACCTATGACATGGAGTCAAATGAACATCATGGCAGAAATTGAGCATAAGACTTCAAGCAACCCCGAGCAGGATAGGAGCATAAAAACTTACCTCAACATAGTCCCCAGCCTTCGCTACAACTCTTTTTATAAATTCATCACCTGAACTATAGCCAATTCCCTGTATGTTGCATCCCGAACAGAAAAAAACCAGTCAAGTTCCATTGGATGTCAAACATGAAAAAACCCGTTATCTGTTCTCGAAGCAATGATGTTTGCAAACTCAAAATACCTGGAGGATTGGAGGCGCCTTAAATATCACTATATCTGAAACTTCAGGCTTCCTGAATACATACGATACCTGAAGCACCAAATACACCAGTGAATAATAGTGAGATGAGGAAGAATGATCTCTCTTTCATAAACCAAAAACTATTAGAATCTCTTATCCTACAGATACCAATTCAACATCATATTTTGGTAATAATTATGAAATACCATCAAATCGATGAAGAATTAACATGTATAGGAATCCCATGCATATGCATAATCATCACGTAATGAAAAACAGAAGCATCAATGGCATCTTTTCTTATCCCTGTTATAATTTCAGATCACTATTAAAACTAATCAGGGGAAATAATTTCATACATTAACAAGCTATCAGCCTACAAGCATTGCACCCTCCACTTGCTGGACTTGAAATTGTATAGATAAGATGGAAGCTGATATATATGAGAATTGTGCAGATTATAAAAGGTGAAAACAACAACCTCACATTAATCTGCAAATTAAAGATAGTGATCAAATGTACAACAACATTCTGTTTAGCATTGGGGTCTGGCAATGCAGCAGGAAAAAAATTTGCATAACTTCTATTTCCTCACGATTAAAAGAATTGCAAAACTTTTAGAAGTACAAGTAACGAATGGTGTAAACAGAATGTCAGTTCTCCTCTCAACTCATAACGTTTAATTAATATGTCTCCTTATCAACAGCCCATATCAAATTATTTGCAGTCTAATCATATTATAAACAGACAAGTTTTAAAGATGCGATTATTATCAACTTATATAATGAACGAAGCTACACATTTCTATACCTTCTCTGCCATAATGCGATCGCCCACATCCAGAGTTGGATACATGGAAGAGGACGGAATCGACCTCGGCTCTGCCAAGGATGACCGGAAGAGAATGCTGACACTCAAAGCTGTGAACACGGCTTTGGCATCGTCTGAACAGAAATTCAACAATTTCGATAGCCAATTACTCCTCGACAAGTTAAAGTCCCTCGACATTTCCTCCGAACTACAACTGTCATCAACTTCACTACACAGTGTTCCACCCCTATCCACCTCAGAATTTCCCGATCCGATACTAGGTTCGTTACACGGCAACCACTTCGAACCAGGCAAGAACTGAACAAGGGATGAAACATTAAAAGACGATATCCCATTAATCATCCCCATAGAAGAAACCCCCGAAACCCCAGCCGACGACTTCATCAACGAAATCAAGCCAGCAGCCAGAGGGGTCTTAAAATTCTCGCCCAAAAATTCACCGGCGATAGTCGAATACATCGACGACGATGAATTACTTGGCCAGCAACTTGGTTTGGCCTTCGGCCGCCGAAACTCTGCCGAATAATTTGTTTCCGGCTTAGGGTTCGGCTGGAAGAGACGAGATTTGATAAAACATTCGTGAAATAACCGGCACGGTCCGACTTTGGATGTGGCGGGGGCGGCTAGGTTTTGGGCAACGTAACCGGAGTAGGTGACGGTGAATCGAATCGCCATAACTACAATCTGGAATAAGCTGATTAAGATTCGGAAAATAGTGCCTTTCGGCGACCGACGGTGATAATAACGAACAACTTATGTTCAAATAAACGAAACTGGAATGGAGAGAGTAAGTGAATCGGAGACGGGAGGGTTGACTTAGAGATGAATAAATGAATCGGAGAAAAAATAGGAAGATCAAAATTGGGGGTTTTCAGATCAGAAAGGAATGAAGGAGGAAAGGGTGAGATTAGAAACCCCGGAGAGAGCGCCTGAGCTTTCCTCTCAGAGGAGCTCAGGAGAGGGCGAGATAGAAAGACAGAGGAGATTGAGATGCGAGGAAACCAAGAGAGCAACGAAGTTGGAAAGAATTGGGGGGTTATATTTCGGCTGCTTCTCAAGTTGAAGCAAAATGTCCTACTTTCTACGCGTAATTACGAAAACACCTTGACCATAATTTCTTCGCTTTAATTGAATATTCTTATTTTTCAAAAATAACATTAAAGTTAAGCAAAAATAGTAGTCCGAATAAGAATAACTAAATAAGGAAATATGATTCCTTTGTAAGCATCTTATGATTTTAATTGTATCTTGATTGCTAAAATTAAACTCGAGACCACAAAAAAATAAATATGACAGTTTGTAAATCATTAAGTACTTGATAATTTTTCAAATTTTTTATTTTTTCAAATACGACGATAAAATCACAAAAATTACACGAGCATGTAAGAACAACACAATAAGATATGTTGCAACTGAACATAAAGTAGAACGAATTTGAATTTTAGATACAAATAGTGGTTTACATCATTTCATGACAAAAAAAACATCATCTAATGGACGACGTTATCCCAAATTATCTCGAGCTATTAACGTATCGGATCGTTTTAATCTGACGTACCACATTAACTTTTTTAAAATATTTTTGCTGCTCAAAAATTATAGTTTCCAAAATTTAATTTTCCCAAAATTTTTCCTCAAATCAAGCAAATCTCTCTCTCTATGCTCAATGCACTCAAAAAGTATCAATTTTTTTAATAAAATATATCTTTATATTTCATTTCTCACTATTAGCGGAAAAAATATTCGTTACAAAACGGTGATACCATGTGACAATGCTAAAGTGGTATTACCAATCAATAAAATCAAAATAAATAAACAAATGGCCCTTACTAAAATTGATAATCAATCATTCATGTAAAAAAATAACTATTTTTTCTTCCTCCATGTAAGCAAATAATTATACAAGTGGAATTTACCTTACCCACTTGATATTTTATTATTGATTGGTGATATCACGTCAGCATTGTTGACATAGTATCACTATAACATTTAATATTTACTCATCTTTCTCACACTCATGTACATGCCCTTCTCTCTCATATCTTTACAATAAAGTAGAACGAATTTAAATTTTAGAGAAAAAAGTGGTCTAAATCGTTTCGTGACAAAAAAAAATATCATCTAATGGACGACGTTATATCAAACTGTCTCGAGCTATTGACGTATCAAATCGTTTTAATCCGACGTACCACATTAACTCTTTCAAAATATTATTGCTACTCAAAAATTATAGTTTCCAAAATTAATATTCCAAAATTTAATTTTCCCAAATCTTTTCCTTAAAGCAAATCTCTCTCTCTCTCTCTCTCTCACGCTCAATTTACGCAAAAAATATCAAATTTTCATAATATTTTTTTCTATATCTCTTTTTGTATCTCACGAAAATATTATATAGTGTCTAATTCAAGTAAATACTACATCTCTCTGTAGATAGATAGTATATATTACAAAGTGAGATAGTATATTACAAAAATATTCTTTTGTATCTTTCTCTGAAATAAAATTATGTAATAAATATTAGATAGATAATAAATATCACAAAAATATTCTTTTGTATCCCTCTCTTTCATTCAAGCAATACTATAAACACGAATCATACAAATTTAATAGTCAATTTTGTTTTTTTTATAATAAAAAAAAAGCATTACTTGCAAAAAAATATAATTTAACAAAGAAAATATGCTTAACTTTTAAAAATATACAAGATTAAATTCATATACAAACACAAAATCATACAAATTGAATATTTAGTGAACAACACAAAGTAACAATATTTACTAAATAATCCAAATCTAAATACCCGAAAAAAATGATACAAAATTACAAGCGAGAGAAACGATACAAAATTATAAGCAATACTATGAACACGGATTATATAAATTTAATATGTAGTGAACAATATAGATCGACAATCTTTACTAAATGATTCAATACTAAATAACTTTTAGTTTAAAAAAATATACTAAGAATATAAATAATGTTTAGTTTAAAAGCACTACTATAAACTCAAATCATATAAATTCAATAGTCAATTTTATTTTTCCATATAAAAGTATAACTTGCAAAAAATATAATTTAACAAAGAAAATATGTTTAACATATAAAATATACAAAATTAAATTTAAGTTATTTGACAACTCAAATATCAAGAAATTTATTAAAGAAAATATACTTAACATTTAAAATATACAAAATTAAATTTATATACAAACAAAAATCATACAAATTCAATATTTAATGAATAATACAAAGCAACAATATTTAGGACATCTCTAACCCTGACTCAAATTTGACTAAAAATTTGAGTCATGGTTAGAGATGCTCTTACTAAATAATCAAAATCTAAATACTCGATAAAAATGATACAAAATTACAAACAAGAGAAACTATACAAAATTATAAATAATACTGTGAACACGAATCATACAAATTTAATATTTAGTAAATAACACGAAACAACAATCTTTACTAAATAATCTAATATTTAATAACATTTAGTTTAAGAATATAAATAATCGAGAAGAATAATATAAAATTAAAAACACTATTATAAATTTGAATCATACAAATTCAATAGTTAGGTCGTATATTTTGGAAGTCAGTTGAATTTTTTATAATTATATTTGGTCATTTGACAATATTTGTAGACTTAATTTATTTGTGGGAGTATTGTTTTAATTTTCATTCTATTAGTTATGAATTCTGTTGTTATTTAGATAAAATTGATTATGAATGTTAAAATCGTGAATTTTGAATTAAAAATAGAACATTGAATATTGTCAACTGATATATTTATTCAGATATTTGAATTATTATATTTCAGTAGTTATAACATAATTTTCATAGCGTAACAATTTAATATGAAAATATATGCTATGCATGTAAGTTGATGTTATGAAAAATATTAGCGGACTCATTTTGTTCATTGTTTATTACAATATTGTATTTTAGTTTATATTTATATATGAACAAATATTTGTGACTAATTTACGAATAATACTGTGCCTTCAGGTACGGGTAATTGCTAGTATTTCATAAAGCTTAAGTAAGAAATCATTTTTCATCCGGTGATTTCAAATATCCAAAAAAAAAAAAAAAAAAAGAAACACCATAAATCAGTAATTTGGTAGGACATTGTGGGCATTTTAGTCTCCTAGTCTATTCAAAAACTTTTGTTGACTTTTGACTGCCGGGTTGCATCCTTGCAACCTCCATTCTATCTGCTTTTCATAAAAAAAACAAAACATGATTGAAGGGAACGTTCGGAGGCCTTTCATTAATGTCATTGAGTTAAGAAAATTAATTTTCAAAAAAGGATTTATGTCTTTTTATGAGTAAGACACTTATTTATATATTACAAGCTCTTATAGAATTTGTATTAAATTTTAGAATAAAAATATTAAAAAAAAACTAAGATATTAACTCTTTTTCTTATTACAGGGTGTTTAAACTTATATTGATTATTCTCTTGAACTCAAATATTGGTTTCTGTAATTCAAACGAGTTTAAAACATATCTCTTAAAAATTACTTAATAGTAATAACTTACATTTAAGTGTTAATACTAAGATCTCTGAATTATCCATAAGAATTAATTAATTTTGATGTTGATTGCAACGTGCAACCAAGTTCTTAGTATTCATGAAATAGGTGACGGAAGCACTTACATCAGCCATTAAAGTGGGAAGATGTTAACCTTTGACATGACCAACAAAATCACCCTATTGTCGATAGTGATGAGATATGATCAGGGAGGTGATCCCACAAAGCAAAATACAATACAACCTTCAAAGAAAAGATTATGTTTGAGATTAATTCGCAATAATTTACACCTAAACTCTTAACGTAAATTATAAAAGATAACTATCTAAACTATGTGCGAGTTGGGCTTTGGCGCAACAGTAAAATTATTTGATTATGATCTAAATGTACGATTTTAACTTTATTTTTACAGATAAAATTGTGTATATTTAACTCTCCTTAAATTCTGTAATAATGAGAGTCTTATATTATAATTATGCATGTGCGTGTGTGTGCAGGATCTTGCACAATATAAACACGAGAACAGATATCTCCCGTGGTGAACTCGAGTCAGTCAATCGAATGGTTAACCTTGCTACTTGGAACAGACTGTAAGGTTCGTTGGTGGCCTGAAAAGGTAATGAGAGACTTTCGTGGATCAACGGAGTGGTCCTGTAAGACTGAGGGAGGTTCCTGGAACATAAAAAAATGAGTTAGGAGGGTGCCGGAGTGTTTTTCGGCGTATCTCCTCCTCCGACCAAGTTAGTTCTTTGAGAGAGGAGAAGAAGAAAACACTGTGTATAGGTTTGAGAAAAGATTTTTTTTGTTGCATGTCGTCTTGCCTTTTGTGAGGAGTATTTATACTTCAAAAACTCATGATTACTGTCAGTGTGGTCAGTAGGTGATCATTAGATATGGGCAACGTGCACATTGATTCCTATGAGGAATGTTTTCTCTTTTAACTATTCGGGATCCCGAGCAACCAATGTTGCGTCATCGCTCTACCGAATGTTTAATGAGCTCCTCTCGGCAAAGATGTAATAAATGTTCAGTTTTAGGGACATTTATTACCTTTCACTTCCGAGCCTTACCGCATTAAATGCTGTCTCATCAAGGGAATGGTGTAATTAAATGTTTGCTTTTTCAAGTCGTGTGTCAGCAAGGACATCCGATTTTTTTGTCTCTGATGTGACACAATATGTCACGCGCCCATTCCCTATTGGCTGTGTCTTCTGTCTTCTTGTACTTTTTGACACCAATTGTGTAAGACAATGTCATGATGACTAATCTAGTCTAGGCTAGGCTAGGCTAGTGACCTGTACATCAATAGCCTCTACAGGAGCAGAGAACGCCATCCTGGACGGGTACATCTCGGTACCGAGGGAAGTGGTACATGTAGGGACCTATGTACCTATATTCGATCAAGGGATACGTATCGGTACGTAACGTACTAGGTGTCATTGATCTCTATGAACAGTATCTCGAAGGAAGAGAGACTTGTGATCCGACGAGTACATGTCATGATTATAATAACAAGAATCAATCCGAAAGCTCGGAATTATTCAATCATGCCGGCAGGCAAACAAAGTTTAGAATTCTGTTGTCTTTGACGAAAACCCCCAAAAAAAAAAAAAAAAAAGCGTAAAAACAGACAACTTTATGAATGCATACTCTCCGATGCAAACGGAATTCCAAGAAAGTCAAGACTTTTTTTCTTCCATTTTGTCAAACCCATGTCCAAACCTGTGAAACTCAAAAAAAAAAAAAAAAAACAAAGCAAAGACATTGGAGTAGCTCTGACCAAGCTTTGTAAATCCCATCTGTATGTAGTCTATTTTCTGTGGTTTATACCCACAAACAGGAGGACCAAACAAAAGATACCAAACCAAACCCATTATTTTCGATCAATTTTAATACTGCTCAAACAACAATTCTACTTAAAAGACGAACTCGAAAACCAAAGTCATTTTTTTTTATTTCCTTGGATATTAACTAGTTGGAGAGAACTTTGACTTTGAGTGGAATTAGTAAGGCCCGGGCAATGAAAACAATCACCACCATCCAATCCGCCGTTAGCACGACCACTTACCTGCCACGTGTTGCGAACAGGTGAAACCCAAGAACAGTCCCACACCCCCTAGCACCGCCACCACCAACTCTGCTGCCGTTACCTTTGCTGCCTTGTTCCATGGGCCAGTCAAACATACCAGCTTCATCTCCCATTTCATGAAGACCCGAACCGTGCCCAAGCCCATGACCGAATCCACTAAAGGGCACAACCTCGACCCTCTGTTGTGTATTCAACGAAGACGTAGAACTGCCTGAAACGGGCTCATTCAGATTCACATCACAACACAAAGAAGACCCAGACCCAGATCCAGAACCCGTTTCGGCTGCCATGGAACCCGAGTTAGCGTGTATCGCGTCATCAGTTTCTGCAGAAGAAGATGATTCAGCGGTGATGGTGCGAGAGCGTTTGTTGGAGGATGACTTCCGGGTTCCGCCGCCAACGGGGACTTTACGGAGGGTGCCACCGCGGGTCCAGTATCGACGGCAAGCCTTGCAGAAATGGCGGGGCTGAGAGAGGTTGTAGTTGTTGTAGTAGCAGAACTTGGTGTTGGTCGATTCACAGCGCGGGCATGGGAGTTTTTGGGGCTCCATTGGGCATGAGTTCATCTGTTGGGGTCTCGCAGGTGGTCGGTCTCTGGTTTTCGACGACATTCTGAGTTGTGCTTGCGTTTTATTTGGTTATGTGCTCAGGCGAATTATGTGTTGAAAAGAACAATTTTAGGAAAGAAGACAAAATGCTCCATGGATAGAATCATGAAAAAAGACACAGAGAATGAAAAGTGGACCAGTAGAGAGGGGTTTATATACCTGGTCAGAGGAGAGAGAGACACCACAGCTGGACCCTTAAAAGTTGTTATAAAGAGTTAGTAAATTTATATACTATCGGTTAAAATTTTGGTAATTTTTTGTAATTAAATAATAGTAATATATTTATATTTTATAAATATTTTAATTTCGATATAAATGATTAAGAAAAACGATTAATAAAAGTACATGTGATTCAGATACCTAAGATTATGAAATAAAAAAAAAAAAGAAATAAAATAAAAAGAACATTGTTTTGTAACAGATAATGCAGTGGAACATTGTTTTGTAACTAATTGCATTTGGTTTTCACACAGTGAAGAATGAAGTGTTGTGTGGTTTTCGGATGACAAAGTGTCGGGGCCGGCCCGGCCCGGTCAACAAAACCTGGGTTTTTAGGTGTTATAGTTCAAAAACGCTTTAAAAATATTTTTAATTAGTCAACTAAAATAAACCGGTCATTTTTATTCATTCTCTCTCTCTCTAATAAACTAAAGCCCTCCCTCTTACTCACTTTCTACTAAATACAAATTTTCTTTTTTTTTTTTTGTGTTACGATTTTTTTTTAATTTCTATTACGAAAAATAAACTAAAATATTTTTTTTATTAAACTATAAAATTTAAAATCAGTAGATTATGATTGTTTAAAATTAAAATTGTAAAATCTTTCTTAAGATCGATTATCACAATAAAGATTAGCTACTTTTAATCTAAAAAATAATAATTTTTAAATAAAAAATTATTAATATTAAAATAAAAAGCCTCATTTGTAATAATCGCTTTAGGCCTCAAATATATATGATCAATATTAATCAATCCTTTAGTTAGCTGGTCATTTTTGATAGTTTGATAATTCCATAGATGTTTATGAGTAGGCTTGACTTTTCTTTCAATCAAACTAATCTAATCGTTTTTAGATTTTTGAATAAGTTACACATCTAATTTGTTATGTTAATTTTTTTAACTCGTCCCCAGGAATTAATCATTTTTTCCCGTCTGATTTTCAGGGTGTGTTGCATTTCGTATTACACGTTACATTTAGCATGAATTTAAGAAGAAGTACTTTAAAGAGAAAAATAAAAAGAAAAAATAGTTAGAATGGTGTGGATCTTTTACATTTAGATACGAGCATGAGAAATCTTGCCGTCTATATCGAGTAACAACCAAATACCACATAGACTGGACCATTATCTTGGTTCTTTTCTATCTCTAGTATTGTCGGGATTTGGTAATGATATTGAAAAATAATATTTTTTAATACCAAACGTCTTTTGTTGTGGTCGGCCGCTTTCAACTTTTTGTGGCTTTTCCCGCCCCGTTTCCTTGGCTTTCACTCTTGGTTTGGTCCAAAATTGACTGTATCAGTCCTAAATCTTCAAAACTCTTGGCTCTTACTAGAGAGATTTCTTTGGACAAATACAAGGCTTATTCAACGGTTTTATTTTCATAATATGTAGGGTGGTTTTTTAATAGAGAACTGTTAAATTTCATCAAGAATACATTTGAAACTTTCTCCATTAATCATACAAATACAAACCATTAAGGTGTAGTTGTAATCCATGACATAGTTATGTCCCACAGCTCCACCATATCCAATTTCATTGGAATAAAACCAATTCCATCATGACAGCTTGGTTCCTCTCTTCACTATCTCAAAGAAAATGACATTGCATTAATACTACCTCCTTCTTGTCTAGAATGTGGATTTTCTTGTGGATTAAGTCTTTATGGGATTTTTTTTTAATTCATAAACTAACCTATTTATTCATGATTGTAGATAATCTCCGTTGTATTATATATATATATATATCTCATATTTAGTCGTGGTACGAGGAGGTTGCTATGTGGGTGAAGCCTTTCACATGCTTAAACCTATTTTACGACACTAAAATAAAACTAGAAGAAATGATGAGATGGTGAGCGTTTCAAAAACTTTCATACTACATTTATTTTTTTTTTCAATCATTTATTTTTGCATAGCATGATTATTTCCTTTGAAATTGTGAACCGAAGAATACCAATTCAAAAGATTAAACGTTTCACCAATTCATACTCAAATCAAGTTTGGGTGATGATCACAATCTTATTTGAGAATGAGATATCAATTCCTAACTAATAGACCGTTTGGTAATATTATTTGAAAGTTTTAAAGTAGTTTTTGTTGCTTTTTTTAAAGTACGTTATTAACTAACCGTTTATTTTTACATTTCGTAAAATGCAGTCTTGTTCTTGTAAATAGTAATCAAATGGAAATCAAACCCTTTGGAGTTTTATGTGTCGTGAATAGTAATTGTATGTAATACATGATTGATGAACGCGACATTTGGGCTTCAACACAACAAATTTCTAGACTTTATGATTGCTTGCAGTGGATGGAGTTTCTGAGTTGTAAGTCTCCGAGTGTCAACATTTTCTCCCTCTCCATCATCCTTGAGTCTCCACTCAAATTCTTGTACAAATCTACCAATCGCAGTGCAAGAGATCAAACTCGCTTGAAGAGCACCTGCACATACCCTCTTTCCACCTCCAAACGCCATCGTCTTGTGCAAATCCATGGGATCATACTTCCCATTCAGAAACCTCTCAGGCTTCCACTCCTCAGGACTCTCCCACACATCTTTGTCCATGTTGCATCCGTAAATGTTTATAGCAATCTGCACAAAATAGTCAAAAATCAAAAACTGCAGGCAAAATTTCTGTAAGTTGCTCCATTGTAACATGGGGTATCACGAATTAGAGTTATAGAAATAATCTCTCTCCACGTGAGGGTAAGGTTGCGTTCATAACAGGAGTTTCGTGAATTTTTAGGCAACGTTGTTGTTAAAGAAAGAGCACAAGGGAAAAGTAAGAGTAATAACCTCACTTCCAGCAGGGATAGAATAACCTTGTAACTGTGTATCTTCATGCACATATCGCAGAGGAATTATAGGAACAGGACTATACTTTCTCAGTGTTTCATGAAAAACAGCAGATAGGTATGGAATCTGATACAATATGTCCTCTGTGATCTTGTTAGCCCCACAAACATGTTGAATTTCTCGATAGAGAATATTCTGTAGGAGTTGGAGAGAATCAAAATCATGTAATTATACTACAAGCTACTGTGTAAAAGGTTGAATTGATTTGTTAGTGGAGAGTAAGTGAATTTACCAACCTGTCTTTCTGGATCTTTAGCAAGTTCATACATAGCCCATTCTGTGGTTATCATGGTAGTATCAGATGATTGAATAATAGATTCCCAAAGCAACATTGCTATTTCTGTCTTTGACAGTGTCTTTGCTTCAGATAACAAGTAGTCTAGATAACAATTGATTTCCTGTTTTAAATTCCAGAAAGTAAGTAAATTGCAAAGGTCAGCTAACGTTATGACGAATGTACGAGCACTTCAATTAGCATACTCAAAGGTACCTCTCCCGATGAAATTCGTTTCATCTGCTCCTTTATTAGGGCCTGCATTGCCGTTTGCCTCCGAAATTTCATTTGCTGGATTTTTTCTTCAAAGCTTTTATTTGGAACCCATTGCATATAGGGGAAGAAATCTCTCCAGTCCACATCAATAGAGCCCTCCATTGGGTCGGTTATTAAAACCTTAAATAGTTCCTCTCTTGACAAAGTGGTTCCAAGTTCCTCCACTTGAATGGATTTCACATCCTTTCCCAGTGCCTGCAAATACCATTTAATATTACTTAAGGATTCCACATCCTTGGTTCAAAATCTGCCTCATATGTGAGGGAACGTGTTAAAAAATGTATAAATACTTACCCTCTTTCTGAGTCTGAGTCTTTTAGAGTAAATAGTGGCTTAACAAATATGACTAACGATAAATCATACATGAAGTAACTCACTTGCTTCAGTGCTAATCCAAAAATTTCAGGCTCGATTATTTTCCTAAGAGTTACGGCTCCAAGAGGACTGCTCTTCAAAAAAGCATACAGTTGGTCCATAGTGTATTCTATCAAGATGTCTCTGTGGAGACGATGTCGCCTCTGATGCACAAGAAAAGTGTAAAAATGTAGCTTGCCCAACTTGAAGAACATGAAAAGAAAGAGGATGAAGAATAATTTTGTTAACAAATTAGATTAGTGAGGAATTTTTTGCAGCACAAACCTGGGCAGTTGGTCCCAAAACATTTGTGAGCATATGTCGTTTTACTGTCTTGTGGAACTCATTGTAGTCACTCATGGCAACCATGGTTTTATCAGAAGTGAGGATCGTTAGCGCTTTTGATAGCTTTCTTGTTGAAATGGAGGAGAATCTGGTCACCATGGCCTGAAACACATTGAAAGGATAGAGAATCACAACACTTGCTTGTTTCGTGTTCATGTATATGAAAATATATAGCTGTTATATATACAATGTGAAACAAAGTCAATATTCTGCCCAATTTGGAGCCACATTAAGTGGTCATTTCAGTTTATCAGTCATCTAACACAAGAATATATTACATTATGATGCTTCTTGGGGCGTAATCAGGATTTTTCTTAGAATAGTGTTGGTGGAGGAGGGGAGGAATTACTTATAGTTACTTTTAATACAACAGATCTTCGGTTGGAAAAATTTCTTTAAACTAGTGAAAAAACCTGCACTCGAAGCAATTTGATCTTTCATACATCACATCATTTTTTGTAATAAAAAAAAAAAAAAAAAAGTCTATTAAGACCAATACGATACATACCCCTAATGCGGGCTGGCCGACCCGGTCCAACCCCTTAACCACCAACTTCCCAACATATGAGTTATAGCACGATATTGATCCACTCAGATAGTCCAACCTAAAAGCTAACCCTTAGGTTGAATCATTCGCAACTCAGGGCCATACTTTTTTTTTTTTTTGGTAAGGCTCAGGG